CGGCATCAACCGCAAAATATGAATACCGACGTACGTTCTTTGCTTTTCCACTTGACAATTCATCACTAAGTTCTAGGATTCGAGTACAACAGAGAAAGACATGAAAGACAAACAATTACATACATATTATTGTATTTCAGAATATTAAAATAAAATAAAATAGAAAGCGACTAAAAACTGCAGTTGTTGATGGCAGTTATATACGTCACGTTCTCCGGTCTCTTTTTTGCGTCGAATCTCTGAATTACTCGGGTGTGATTTCGGATACCGGGTTAGTAGTTGGACAGCAGTTCATCTCACAAATAAAATGCCGTTTATAACAACCTAATAATAATGCGGTAGGTCCGGTGATTGTTGTTATTTTAGTGAACTGATTATTACAACAATAAAAAAATCATGATTGTAGAAAAGTTTTTAGTTTTGCTGTTTATTTTATTACGCATCTTAGCATGATGAACAGCAGATGAACAGGGGTAAATTCCACAGGTACGAGGACCTGCTGTTCAGTGATGAAAACGGGTAACCTGATCCCCGGGACTTGAAGTGGTAACCCACCTAAGACCCCACTATGTTAGGCATGGTATAGAACCGGGAGACAGGAGTGTTCGATAAACGATAGTCATCATTCACCTTTGAGTGCGTTTCACTTGAGTCAAGCGTGAAAAGGATTTCATTATTCTCCACCCTTCTCCCATGTTTTTGCTTCCACTATCACATAGCACTTGGTTCCCGATCACACAGTTGCTCATGTTATCCGTTTATCGAATAGGGTTGCTCTCATGCGAACTCATTTTGTCCGTATACCTGCTTGTGTTGACAGTGTAAATAAGTCTCTGTGATTTGTTGTGATCATTCGGTATATTGCTTGTGTATGTAACCCCTAAACTAGCGGGGCCTTGTGTGGTTCGTCACTTCAAATCCCGGGGCTTAAATCACCGGTTTCCATCACTGAATAGCGGGTCCTCGTGGTAATGAGGTTCACCTCGTTTGCTGTTCATCACACGAAAGTGTGTAATAAAAACAATTGTCTATTCCTCGGTCAAAATTTTAATTCAAATATTTTGCACAAATGCCTCAATGTTTGAACTTCGGTATTCATATTTGTGGTTCATTATTATTGAAATATTATGCACTCTGCCTGCTTCGGCAAGTTGCCCGCAGACTGTTCTCAGTCTTTTCTGATGCACGTTTCATCGCGTAATGCTCGAGTCGCATTGTTGTTGAGGCACGCCCGTCTTTCACTCGTGTTATGGCTATAAATAATCGGTATCGAATGCCATCAGTGTTCTGAATCTAGGTCAGCAGACCGGTATCCCTGTCCAATATATTCAATTTGAACGGAAGGGCATGAGTTTTTAGTCGTGTTGACGTCATATATTTGCTTAAAATTATCAACAACTGAATCGTAAGTCTCTCTCCTATTGTGTTATCAGTTTGTGGAACCATGGACGACGTGTCTGCCCTTTCGTTCCTCGAAGTGCAACTAAATCTGGCCTATCGTCGATATTGGGACGAGCGAGTGGTGAGCTTGGATTATTTGTATTCAGCCACCGATGAGGATAATTCACTTCCTGGTGACACCGATGGCTTCAAGAGTGATTTGATTCGTTGGGTCGCTCGGTTTCCGTTTCCCATGGCTCAACGTGAATACATCTACGCCCGCCGTTGGTGGTTGGAAACTGTCCAGGAA